AAACCCACAGAACCGGAGAAAATCTTCACCAGGAACACATCTGACAGAGGTTTAACATCCAGAATATATAACAAACTCAAAAAACAAAGAATTGAGGAAGTAACCCAATTAAAAATGGGCTTAAGGAACTGAACAGAAAGTTCTCAAAAGAAGAAATAAAGACAGCTAAGAAACATCTTTAAAGGTGCTCAACATCACTCTTAATTAGGGAAATGCAAATTAAAACCACTTTAAGATTTCATCTAACCCCAGTCAGACTGGTTAAGATCAAGAGAACAAATGATACCAAATGTTGCAGCTGATGTGGGAAAAGGGGAACACTCATCCACTGTTGGTGGGACTGCAAAATTGTTCACCTCCTAAAGAAAGCATTATGGAGAACTCTTAAAAAACTACAAATGAATCTACCATTTGACCCAGTTATACCACTCCTTGGCATACACTCAAAGAACTCATCCTATTGGAGAGACACTTGTACATCCATGTTTGTTGCTGCTCTTTTCACAATAGCTAAGAGATGGATGCAACCTAAGTGTCCCTTAACTGCTGAATGGATAATGAAAATGTGGTTCATTTATATGATGGAATTTTACTGAGCAGTAAAGAAAGATGAAATCATGAAATTTGCAGGTAAATGGATGGAACTAGAAACTGTTATACTAAGTGAAGTAACACAGCCTCTGGAAAAAATATGACGTATGTTCTCCTTCATATGTAGATCCTAGCACCAAATCCTTATAAGTGAGTATATATCCAGACATAACTACAGGGACCTGGATAATTAAAGAAACCAGGGAGGTTTGGAAAAGAAAGAATCTGAAAGAGAAGAACAGTAGAAAACAGGTGTTAATAAGGGATATATGTATAAAAATGGTGTTATTTTAGGGGGGGGGAGGAAAGGTCATACAATGAACCTAGAGGATAAAGGGATAGAAGGAGCTCAAGAGAGGTGAGACCATAGATGATGGGTATTATTAAGGGAGAAATGGGCAAAACAGGGGCACCTTAAATTGGGAAACCATGGTGGAAAGGTTACACAATGTGAGAGATAAATAATGCCTAGCTGGTTTAAAAAACACCAGAGGGAACAATATTAGTCCAAGAACCTACTGACAAATTATACATACAACCAGATCAAAGAATGTAATATATGTCTAGGCAAAGTTTATCTGAGAGTGTTTGGTCTTTGCCCAAGCTTTATCTACATGAAACAGGGTAATTAAAAGCACCAGACTGGTGGAACTAATGTTCTTGAATGTTTAACAGCCACACTATGAGGCCAATACTAATTTAGATAGAGGGACATAAAGGACAGCTTTTGCTCCTTTCCTTCCTAGGTTGACTAAGTTCCAGGGGACTATGAGTATCTCTCAAAATGTCCTGTAACTGTGGTGAGTCACTTGTCCTCTTGATCATGGAGGCCATGGAGACCTCACCAGATGGACCCAATCCAGTGTCCAGTCCAAAGAGGAGGGTCAATACAGAGGAAACATTTCCTCCATGCTTCCAAGCAAAGCCAGCCATGATCGAGCAGGACCTTTGACTTATCTTCACATAGATGTAACTGATAAAAGAGTGGAGCCAGGGGCTCCTCCCAAGCCCATGTTACCCCTGAGAACAGATCCTCAAATGACCTTAAGAGTAAAAATAAATTGGTTTATCTGGGCCAACTGGGCCAATTGTAGGGTCTTAAACACCCAAAAGAAAAGTATAACCAAAGATTAATGGGGTCAACATAATTTTTAAAAGTCCATATGTATAGCTAAAGGCTACATAACAAGCAACAATGCCAGACAGGAGATACCTTCCTTTGTGCTCTTAGCCAGGGTGGCCCAAAAGACTCCCAGGCAGTAATCCAGCAGAGAACTGGGAAATGAACAGCAGACCCCAATCTTATCTAAAGGAATATTGACAATTGTTTGCTACTAGATGAGGAACAGCTGACCCTCCTAAAACAAAGACCTCCAGATAGGCTGACTAGGCAGCTAGACAAGCACTGGGGAATGGCTGGGGTCACTGGCAACATAGTGGACAGTAACAGTGATGACTGAGTATATGGTCTCCAGTGTGTGTGTGGGGTGTGGGAGGGTGCCATTTGGGAAGTGGGTATATAGATGAACAAGATTGGGTGGGATGCTCTGTGTGATATACACACAAAAAAATCAACAATTTTTTTTAAAAAGACATAATTGAGGAGGAAGCATAAAAATTTACTTCATGTTAGTCAGTAAAAGTGATAAACATTACTATTGAAATCTACCTGATGACTTTATATCCATACTCAGGTTGGATCCAAGTGTAACTGACTGTGACTAGTAAAAATCAGATACATAGAGGTTAAAGACACATGTGCCAATATCTAAGCATTAGTAGCATTAAAAATGTAGGAAGCAACATATTTTAAAATGAAATGGAGATCTTTAAAGGGTAAAAACTCACTCAATTTTATGTCTTACAGGGTTTATACTGAGTTCAATATTGTATAATTTTATTAATTCAACTGTGAACCTTAAAATTTACAGGCACTTTCGAAAGAGATATATCCTTGCTCTGGAAATTGTTACTGAATATCTTAAAGCTGTAATGAAATGCTTCTTCTAATCTGTGATTATTAAATAAAAAATAAGAAAAAATTAAAAGCTCAATAAAATATTAATAAAGAAAACATTTTAAAAAATTAAAAACATAAACAATCACCTGGTGTGGTGGTGCACACCTTTAATCCCAACACTCAGGAGGCAGAGGCAGGTGGATCTCTGTGAGTTTAGGGCCAGCCTGGTCTACATAGTGAGTTCTAGGCCAGCTGGGGCTACTGGGGACCCTATCTCAAAAAAAAGACCAAAAAAAAAAAAACAAAAAAAACCACCTAACATAAACATGAACTGACCACAATCACAATGGGACATGCTTATCAGCCTGTAATCCCAGCACTTGGGAAGTGAGGCAGGAAGAAGTTCAAGATCATTCTCAGCTACATAATGAGTTCAAGGCTAGCCTGGTCTACATGAAACTCTGTGAAAAATTAATAAAAAAGGAAAAATTAATAAAGAATAATATGAAATGATTTTCAAATGGCTTTGATAATCAAATGCCTCTAGTGGAAAAACAATTACCATAAGTCTTCAATATATGTATATCAATTTGTATGTTTATAAATATGGGGACTGCATGGGGCTTGGAAAGATGGCTCAGTGTTTAAGAGTGCTTGCTGCTTTTACAGAGGACCCAAGTTGGCTTCCCAGCACCCATATCAGGCAGTTAACAACTACCTTTAATGCCAGACCCAGGGGATCTGACACTCTATTCTGGTTCCAAGAGCATTCATGTGTTTATACACAGAAAAAATGTTTTGGACGGATGTGGTGGTACATGTGTTTAATCCCAGCACTCTGAAGACAGAGGCAGGCAGATAGATCTCTGTGAGTCTGAGGCCACATAGTGAATAAGCCTGGTCTATATAGTGAAGTCCAGGCCAGCCAAGGTTGCATAATGAGACCCTGTCTCAAATAATAAAAAAAAAATTCAAAACTTTTTTCATAGTCATGTGAGCTTAAACAGTTCATTTTGACAGTACATTTTGTATATAATAAATAAGTTTTATCAGTACATTTAAAATTTTTGTTTTCTTCATTACCTCCATTTTCTTCTCAAGTATGTCTCATACTAGGAAGAGAATGTCCATCCCTCTATTTTTTGTTTGGGATATGTTTTTCATTAGCAATATTAATTTTATTGCATTTTAATACTTTTGCCATTTACTTTGCATTTCCCTTCCATTTTGTAGATCTTGACTTCATTAGCAGTGGTTACATAGTTGGTCAACCACTTAACCAGGTCCAGCTAAACTGCAGGATAGGCCACTACACTAATGTGGACAAACTTGTGAGGACTCTGCAGTCATCTTAAGTTGAGAGGCACTCATTCTTCTCTCAGGGTGCCATAGGCCTCTTACGTATAGGTCTGACCAGACAGAAGCATCACTCTTGCTCAATTCTTTTATTTTATTTTATTTTTTTGAGGCAGGATCTCATTTATGTAGGACTTGTTATATAACTGAGGGTGACCTTGGATTCTTGATTTTCTTGTTTCATTTCCCAAGAGCTGAGATTACAGATGTGAATCTCAACATCCAATATCACTCAATTCTTAAGATACTTGTAAAGTTCAATTTCTTTATTATTTAAAATTTATTTACTTTTATTTTATGTGTATGAGGTTATGTCTACATGTGTGTAAGTGCACTCATGTCCTGTAGTGCCCTTGGAGGACAAAAGAGGGCATCGAATTCCCTCTTTTACTGATGGTTGTTAGCCACCATGTTGGTGCTGGTATTTGAGCCTGGGTCTTCTACAAGAACAGTCAGTGCTCTTAACTGATGAACCATCCCTCCAGCCTCTAATTTCTTTATTTTTATTTATTAGAAAATAAATTTAGAGAGGTCTTAATCATTTCATTCTCAACCCTTAGCATTCTCTGCACTGCAGACCATTTTATTAGCTGCTGACCCTGATTGTTATATTGTACAAAGTTAGTCTTGTAGTTTACCTCAAAAGAATCAGGGAGAATTATACTGAACATTCTTTTTCAAAGCTTGGCAAGAGTAACTGAGGTTACTTTGAGTATAATACTAGATAACAGGACTCAAAGATTTGCTACGTATCTGTTATGTTTCTAAGTATCAGGGATTTCAAGAATTTCAAGCTTTTAAGAAGTTTGTAGTTTTATGGGCTGGTACATGGAGAGATATTTGGAGTCACACACACAGGGGGACGGAGGGAGAGATGAGAGAGAGAGAGAGAGAGAGAGAGAGAGAGAGAGAGAGAGAGAGGGCACTCTAGACGTATGTTGTTTATTCCTTTACATTTTCCTTGGAAATTTACTTTCAACTGCCAGATTCATTCTTTCCTAGGTGATTTCCTGCTGTTGACCACAATCCAATCCTTCCCTGCATTTGGAAGATTTTTATGAGCCATGACCTGTAGTTTATGCTTTGATTATAGTACCATCTCTACTTGCAGCCTCAGTTTGATGTCCCTGAGAAGCCATAGCTGGTGATTTTCAACACCACATTTGGAAAGTTTGGCATTTTCACATGCTTTGATATATTCTTCCATGACCCTGCTGTGACCCTGGTGAAAGAGCTTTAAGTGGACACCATACTGTTCCCCATGGCTTGGATGAATGTATTGCTCCTTTTGACAGCCATTGAATTCCATTCAGCATGTGCATTGGGAATGAGAATGAATCTTCTTGCATCTAACCTGCATCATGCCAGCCTAAATATGACAGGTAATTCACAACCAGGTGAAGCCCGTGACACATACACCTAAGCACAGAGAAATTAATGTCTCAGATGTCATCTGTATTCATTTTTTAAAATTTAAGATCTTCATTGTTTTCTATCCTATCTCACACACACACACAAAGTAAGAAAGAAAAGCGAGAGAAGAAAGGCAATGCTTGGTTATAGTATTTGTGGTCATGTTAAAACGTTTATGTATGTTAGTTAATGTGTCATTACAACTCTATATAATGGATATTAACATCCCAACTTACAGATTAGAAGATAGAGACACAGAGAAAATATACCAAAGCTACTAGTTAGCAAGCAGGCAAGCAGGGAACTGAACAGTGCCATGCTCTAAACTGGCAAAGGCAGAAGACTGTAGTATTTCTATGTTGCCATGTCCCCTAAAACTTATAAGTAAGCATGTCTTAAACTAAAAAGTGTCTGTTGTCCCATGGGTTATGTTCTTCAGGAATTTGAGAGTGACTGAAGCTAGCTCTCAGATTGTACAAGCTGTTGTCTAGGTTAGCTGGCATCATCTGGAAGTGGATCTGCTTCCAGGACAGTTGGCAAGAACTCTCAGTTGCTCAGTTGCTACTGATAGGAGTCCTTTCCATAGGACTACTGTACAGTGATATGGCAGCCCACTTCCTCCAGAAGGGAGAGAGTCAGAGCCAGAGAGGGAAGGAGGGATTGAGGGAGAAGGTCATTAGTGATCAGTTGTCACTATCACTTCTACTGTGTTCTAGTCATTAGAAGTGAGTCACCAAATCCAGGGGAAAGGAATTAGATCCTCTTATTGGAAAGAGAAGTGTTGAAGAACATTTGGCTATATTTGAATACCACCACTGCAGGGAGCAGGAGGGAAGTTTGTATTACTGTTGTCCACCTTTCTGGATCCTGAATATAATGATTTTTATATTTGGCTTAGATTTCCATCATGCTAATAAATAATGCTGTTATAATCAAATTTTATTTGAAATATTACCATCAGACATTTAACCTTTTCCAACAGAGCATAGGAGAAGCTGTTAGGTGTTAATGGTGAATGGAGGCCTGCATGCCTCCTTGTCACTAATATGATGATATGATCACACGTCTGATTCTGAAGTTGGCAGTGTTGTTTATACGCATGGGCGTGTGCCTGGGTGTATGTTATTATTTTCAAAGATTTGTTTTTCACTTGCAGGGAGTGGTATCTACGCACCACAGTCTCCCAAAGTGTACCATTACGATATGGAAACAGGATTGGGAAAGATGCTCCTTGCAGAGTTGGACTCAGATCCTCCCACCTCTCCTGAATACCTAGCAGCTGTGACTTGGAGTGCCTATGCTACCACTATCAAACCATTCCCAGTACAAAAGAAACATTTTGGTGGATTTATTTACTGGGATCAATTCAATTTCACAGGACTTTTTGAAAATGCAGAAAATTTTACAGTCTGTCAAAAAGAATTATGTTGTCATTTAAGCTATAGAATGTTAGGAAAAGATGATCATGAAGTTTATGTTCTGGGAGATTTTGAAGGACTTCATGGCTCAAGAAGAGAGTATTGGGAGGTAAACTTGGCTTAAGTTACAGTGTTCGTAAGGTCTTAGTTAATTTGTCATATTTGTTTCAGTAAACCAAATGCTTTTGCTAGGCAAGACTCCATAGTTAACATATGTACACACACACACACACACAGGAATTAATCAAATATGGTATTTGAAATTTGCAATTGGGACAAATATAATCTAAAATCTGGCTTTGAGGATGTTGAAAAAATTTCTTGATCATTGTATTAGTTACTTTTCTGTTGCTGTGATAGAAACACTGACCAAAGCAACTTATAAAAGGAAATGTTTATTTGAGCTTATGTTCCAGGGGAATTACAGTTTGTCATGGCGGGAGGCATGGTGGCTAGAGGTGGCTGGAGGAGGAGTGGAAGCTAGGCTCTACATCTTCTAGCAGGCACAGGAAGCAAGAGAGTAACTGGAGATCTGGCAAGGCTTAAGAACTCTCTAAGCCCACCCCCAGTGATGTGCTTCCTCCAGGGTAGCCACACCTTCTAAGACCTCCCAAAACAGCACCACCATCTGGGGACAAAATGTCCAAATACTTGGAGCCTATGGGGGACATTTTCATTCAAACCACCACATCATGATGACTTTCTCTATGACCACTGTCCTAATTTGCATATGGTGATAAAATTAAAGAAGTATTTCTTAAGTAGATTAGCATAAACATCTTCATTTGTTAAACCAACAATGAGCAGGAATGACACCTTAATCCTAGTTCTGCCACTCAGATGTCCTTGTCTTCTCACCTTCAAATGGCAAATTCTTAGGATGCAAACTTTAAATTTTTTTTTTCTTTACTATTGAGAATTTCACACATAAAAATATAATCATGCATATGCCCCACTTCTCACCTCCAACTTCCCCCATACTCCCTTCAATGCATCTCCCTCCCCACTTCATGTCATTAAAAAAACAAAATCAAAAAAACAAAACCATTAAGTCTAGTTAGTGCCACCCATATGTGCGTGGATGTGGGGTCATGCACTGGAGCATAAGAGCTTATCAGCCATATTCTCAAAAAAGAGTGATTCTCTCTCCCCCCAGAAACGCTACATCAACTGCCAAGAGCTCTTCAGAAAGGGTGAGGGCTGGTGATCATGTACTAAGCCATCTGTGCCAACATTTTGGCCGACTTAATCTTGTGCAGGTCACCAGTTCTAGTGTGAGAAGCTGAACTGTGAGGCCTTGTGTTTCTTCTACACCTGTTGTCTGTTTTCCACAGGGAGGCACAATGCTGAAGTGAAAAACTACTAATCTGACAACTTGTGGGCAGCCGGTAGAAACTGCCTCTACGACCTTTGAAATGTTCTCCCTCAGTGGTACATTTGAAACAGAAAATGTTTTTCCTGAACTGCTGCTTTCTAAAATTCATCTGTCACCTGGAAAAATTGAGGTAAGAGGATTTAAAGATTATTTTTATCTTCTTTGTTTTATGAAGCCAAGTAGAACAGGCTATAGAAGCTGTTATGGCAACTGTGTTAACTTTTGCTATGTAGTAAACTTACTCAAATCTTACTGACTTTAAATACGTCCCAGCTTTCAGTCCTGGTTTTGTGGTTTGGCAATTTGAACCGAATATCTCAAGGCTGTTTATTTGGTCTGCGTGGGTTTAGCCACTTTAGACTGGGCTCCTGGTGTTCAATAGTTCAAGCTTGGTTGGAGCAGATGGATTTATACTGGCTTTGTCTTAGACAGCTGGGATCACTAGGGAGATCTCTCCTTGTGGCATCTCATCTGTCACCAAATGTGAACTTATTCGCAGTTTCAGTCAATGATTCGAAGTGCATCAAAAGAAAAAGCCAAAACAGGCAGGCTCTTTTTCAGCCTCTGCTTTAACATTTACGAACATCTTACCCATCACAGCAAATTATGTAAGTGATGCACATTCAAATTGTAGAGAAAGAAATGACTAAGACCTCTCAGGGGAAGAGCTACAAAATCACATAGCAAGAGGCTATGGATGAAAGAAGGGGAAATCCTGTGGCTGTTTTTGTAATTTATAGCAATTCATTCTAAAGTAATGGCATTCATTGAAGTAGCATAATAACATGCCCATAACCTATGAATCACTATTATCAAAGGAGTTTTGTATACAGATTTTAATTTTCCTTTGCCAAATGTATGGACAACTGAAAATTAGATAATTATTTCACAAATTGTAGCGCAATTCTGCTTCCAGTGAGTTATAAGCAACATAAAACAATTTAAGGGTCAAGTGTAAAGTACATTATATTAGTAAATTGTCATGTACTGTTTGAACTCCCTGGGAATCTGGAAGTGAGGTGTCCCCCTCATTCAGACCCAACCATGTTTAACTCAAAAGTGTCCTCTAAAGCCTTTGTCTGCGGATGGGCTGTCCCTACCCCCAATTCTGTGACTTGGAAGAAAGAGACCAGCAAAACAGCCCAAGATTGAAAACGTGCCCTTGAGAACACCTAGCAAGTGAACCATTTCTATCAGAGCTACTATTGCTTATCCCATGATACGAAAGAACCTATAGCTGGGGAAGGAAGCTGGGCGTTCAGCCAGGGAAGCTCATCCATGGAGGGAAAGCTCGATCAGGAACTCCAGCTCTCTGCCTCAACTTGCCTAGTCAGTTTCTGCTTGATGTTATGAGCACCCAGTTTGATGATGCTTTCTATCTTCTGCTGTTTGGTCTTTTAGTTGGAAGCCTCATTCAAGGGAATACTCTGTTCTGTTTATAGACTCTATTGGGAACTCCAGCTGACTGCTTCAAAGGGGCTTCCCCAGTCACTATCTGCTGAATGTTTGTTAATGCCTGATTTGATGATATTTTGCTGTTTGTTGCTTCTCTCTATCTGCTTCTTGCCATTTATTCTTTTACTTTGCTTATTATATTCTTAGATACACTCATTCAAAACCAAAGACATGGCTTTTGTTCTCTGGACTGCACAGAGCATACGGCAAACAATAGCAGGACTCCTGTCACTAGTATCATTGCCTGTCTTATAAAAGGAAATTAGAATCTAAGATAAATCATCCAGAGTTTCGAGCAAGGGAGTGTTTAAACTTACAGGTTGCTTCTGGCCCTGTGTCTGTGTATACGCATTATCTGACTGGAAAATATCATATTTTGGAAAAATGATTTTAGGAGAGTAACAATTTATTCTGCAAAGCCAAGAGTTTAATCTACAGTTCATCCTTAAGTCTGTGAAACCTGGATCCTGTCTAGGGAGAAGCTCTAGATCAAGTTGAGACTAGAAGGAAAGCTTAACTGCCAGTTATAGAAAGTCAAGATCAGATCTCAAGTGGGGAGTCTAGAGTTAAGCTGCAATAAATAGTTCAGATGAAGCTAGGTCGGTAGAAATAGGCACAGATGAACTAAAAGCCTTTGAGGTCACTTCAAGGAAGCAAGAGGAAAAACAGTGCCATACAGGTAAGCTTAGAAAGGTACAAGCTCTTGCCATCTCTGAGCTACACCCTGTCAGACTTCTGTTAACAGAGCACATGGCACGATTTTCTGAGTGTTATTTTGACATTTTTACATGTTATGATGCCACGTACTTGTAGAAATCTTTCTGGGGAGTTTCCTTGGAGTAGATTGAACATTAACTTCATGAAGTCACTTTTTAAGAGAGATGGACTAAAACATGCTAGTATTTCCCAGACTAGGTTAAAGGTTCACTATGACTCTGAACCATGTCAAAGTAGTATTGGAAGAAGTTTGATGGGGATAGCTGAGAGAAATTTTAGGGTAAAAGAATGTAGTCCACAGTTACCTTATTTGTTTTAGCTTTTCTCCCAGGTGATTCAGATAGTAGGCAACAGTTAGAGAATGGTACAAGAGAGTCAATGGTTAAGTTCTTAACTCATCATCTTTATTTGCCTGGGTTCTAGTCCTAGTGGTTCTCTGGGGGTCAGGCTGTCTCATCTCTGGCTCCGGATACTTGACTGGGAGGAAGGAGAAAAGAAGTTGGCACCTATCCTCTAAAGTAAGTACTTTCAGTTAGTTGTCATTGGAATCTTGTCTCGCCTACTCAAGTTCATTTTGAGAAAGAGGAAACCAGAGAGACAGTGCTGGACCAAAAAGCAATAAAGAAGGCACTTTGCTACTGCAGCTGGGTCTTTGTAGCAACTCCCTGAAGGGAACACCACAGTCTGAGTGCACCAAGTCTCTGTTTTACAAGTGCAGATTCAAAGGGGCATACTTTCTATTAAGTTCATCAAGGTTTCAGAAAACTAATGGAATAGATAAAACAGTCCACAAAAGTTACCTTTGAAAATAGATCACTTAGCTGGAGAACAAAGAGCTAGCATCTTAAGGTTCTCCAAAAGGAAAATCTTTTGGGACCAAACCTAAAACATAGATCAAATCTTTTGTTTTATGAATACAGAATTAAAGCAAGGGTTGGACATTTATGGGAAAGATGTCTAGGGAGGCAAGGCAGCCCGAGGCAGTGTGTTTTTCCTTAAAGTTGCGGTTATGAAGGCCATATAGGATCAGGATCTACTTTCTCTAAGAACAGCCAAACTAACCAATTCTTTATTGCTTTATTTGCTTATTTTAGTTCTTTCGGAACATGATCCTTTGGTTAGCAGTATTTTTAAAAAGGCCAGTTGTAATATTATAAATGACAAATCCATGCTTCTCAATGTCTTCATGTGAATTTTCTCAGTTCCACTGAATGATAAACACTCCCTCTGCAAACATTTACTAGCCATTTTAGGGGAACACAGACACTTCAAAACCCCTATTGTATATTTTCTCCCTCACTCAGTGGTTTTATAAGAGGTGGATGGAGTGTCTCTGTGACCACAAGTGTTGCAATGTCCTGCTCAACTAGCACTTTGGGGTAACTCTGGTGTGTTTTCTGAAGCATAGGCTAATCTCAGCCAGTAACTAGTTATGACACTTTTTAAAAAGTCACATATAGGAGAGAAGACCTACCTCAGAGATTTGGCTAGGAGCAGATCTAATAACGCTCATAAAGGCACATTCTCCCTGAGCCCCAGCTGGTCTGGAACTTGCTATGTAGATCAGGCTGGCCTCGATCTCACAGAGATCCTGAGTTCTGGGAGGCTGTTTTCTTTTATTCTTGTTCAGTCTATTGTCTGTTCCTGTTTCCCTCTGTTGTTATTCAATCGCTTTATACACAATACTTCCCTCAGAGAATTCTCTATATCTTCAGCAGATTTGGTCATCTGTGCCTTTCACAAATGGATTCTTACCTACTTCTGCCTGGGTGGCTAGTTCTCTTATTCACTAATCTTGAACAGTTGCCAGTGGTGGATTGCATTTTAACAGCTTGCTATCTAATGAAAAATAGGAAGAAATCTCAAGTTTTCATTATGCAGATATTCAGACACGATCAGTTTCAATAACACTGCTGTTACAGTTCACTCAGGTGTCCTCCAAAGGTCTGTGTGTTAAAGACTTGGTCCTCAGATATTACTGGGAGATCATGAGACTTTAATAGGTGAGGCCTGTTGGGAGGTCCTTAAGTCATGAGGGGCATGCCTTTGTAGGGGATTGTGGGACCCTAGCCTCTTCTTCCTCTTTGCTTCCTGTTTTTTTCATAAGAAGTTTTAGCTCACTATATATTCCTGCTGTGATGTATCATCTCTCCTCCTAATCTTGGCCTGGAGCCTTCAAAATTGTGATTAAAAAAAAAACCCTTTTAAACAATTTATCATGGGTATTTTGTTATAGTAATGGGAAGCTGACAACAGGTGGCTTAACACTCATCTATCCAAGTTTCTAGAAATTTAGCAATCTGTTCTTGCAAACCTGTGTCTCACTGGCCTCAGTATATGGTTTGTTATAACCAAACTACACCAGGAAAACACATTGCATAGACCTCCCACAATTGCTTATTGCCCCATACACCCCTCTGCTGCTCAGATTTCCACTTCTCCCACTGTTTCTGCCATATAGCTCTAAGAAGAGTTTCCTAACTTCCTTCTCCAGATTGTGTGCTGCTATGGGAAGCAAACCAGTCAGGCTTTTCTTCTGAGACCTCTTGAACACTTAGCTGTTATCTTTCCTACTATAGTAATAGGGAAGAATATCTATACTATATTACATATAATATACAATTACTTTATGTTTAGCATCTGCTCAGTTTCACAACTAACTTTTACATTTCTGCTTTTTAGATTGATTTTATTTTTAATCATGTGTGTGTGTGTGTGTGTGTGTGTGTGTGTATCTGTGTTTGCATATGCCACATGTGTGTAGATGACTGTAAAGGCTAGAGAGCATACTGGATCTCCTGGAGCTAGAGTTACAGATGCTTCTGAGCTGCTCAACGTGGGTGGTTTACAAGAGCAGCAAGTCCTCTTAATTGCTGAGTCATCGTTCCAGCCTTACTTCTACATTTCTTGAGGGACAAGTATGATGTTTACTTCTTTTAGTTCCTGATTATCTTGCATATATTTAGTCCAACTAAATTGTTGCTGATATTGATTTTGATTTCTCATTAAAGGTTACATTCAATTGTTGAAATTCAATGGTGGGTTCTCTTAAACAGCTCCAGTCTTTATTACATTTGATGCAGCTGACCATCTAACAGTCCAGTCTTTTCTTCTCTCTGCAAGCAGGCATGACTTGATCCATCTGCTTCTGCCTCCTGAGTGCTGGGACTAATGTAGTGTGCCACACTGCCTGGCTTGGTTGCAGAAGTTTAATCTCTTTGCAATGTGTGCTTTAATAAAGTTCACTGTATTGTTCCCACTTTTTCTCTAGGTGCTAGAAGACGGTCATTTGATGAACAAGAATGGACCATCTGGGCCTATCCTCGCAGTATCTCTGTTTGGGAGACGGTACACAAAGGACTCACTTTCCAACCCATATGTATGACTAACAATCCAGCAATAATTTATCTGCCGATATACACATTATTAGTGATTTTAAAAATATTGTAATGCTATAGGACCTCTGTCATTTTTGTATTATGTATTTTGCAAAATTTGTTTATCAGGTTCCCAAGTTTACTAAGAAACTTGGAGCCCAGCATGGTGGTGCATGCCTTTAATCCCAGCACTTGGGAGGCAGAGGTAGGCGGATCTCTGTGAGTTCAAGGCCAGCCTGGTCTACATAGTGAGTTCCAGGACAGCTGGAGCTACAGGGAGACTCTGTCTCAAAAAGACAAAAACCAAAAACCAAAAAAACAACTTGGAAAGGGTTGTCTCAGTAGCATAATCTAACGAAGTCTAATCTTTTACCATGAAGGATTACTTTAAGTGTTGTATTTTCTGTTTTACTTTGTTACCCTTTTGTGGTCACTCTGAAATGTTGTGGATGAAATAAGAATAATGAAAAGAGCCTGTGTATATGGGTCAGGAAAAAAAAAACTAGTATGAAACCCCAGCTTTAGTAGTATTTCCTATTAGGCTTTGTGCATGTTTGTGTATGGGGAGAGGGCTTAAAGAAAAGTGTTTCAGGGCCATTGCAAACATAGCTGTGCCCTTCAAGAGAACATTCATGATAGGAATTGAAAGGGTTATGGCTGGATTTCCTTTAACATTCAAGAACCATTTAAATTTACCCAGTTTTCCACGCTAATGATTAGGGGGGAATTCATTTTCCTATCCAATAGAAGTGTTTCTTTTTCTCCTCACTTCCTCCTCTTTGTCTCTGTCTCTTTCTCTCCTACTTTTTATTTTTATTTTTAAAAATTTATTATTAAGAGGCTGGAGAGATGGCTTAGCAGTTAAGAACACTGGTTGTTCTTGCAGAAGATTCGGGTTTGAATCCCAGCACCCACAGAGCAGCTAACAACTGTCCATAACTCCAGTTCCAGGGGATCTGACAGCCTCTTCTGTCATCTGTGGGCATTGCACAACACTGGTGCACTTACCTACATGCAGGCATAACACTCATACATATAAAATAAAAATAATAAATAAAATTATTTAAACAATTTATTATTATTTTATTGAGCTTTTAATTTCAATCAATCCTAATCACCTTTATACTCTCTTCCCCACTGGCACCCTCCCATAGCGCCCCACTGGAATTCATACATTCTGTCATTTGTCTTAAGGCCTGTTGTGTCAGGTTAGTGTCCTTAGACGTCCCTCAGTGCAAGTTCATCTACTGCGGTTTAGTCAGCCTAGCTAGAGTCTCTCTCTTTAGGAAGATCCGCTCTTCCTCACTCAGCAGTCAAGAGTCCCTACAGACCACCTAGGAATATACTTTTTTTTGTTTGTTTGTGTTTGTTTTAAGATGACATCTTACACTATATAGCTCAAGATGACTTTGAACTCATGATCCCCTTGCTTCAGCCTCCTGAATGCTGATATTTTAGCCATGATGCATCTCTAGATCATGCTCTTTAGATTACACTAGCTGCTTTGCCTACCCAAAGTTACTGGTCCTTCAGTTGGTGATTTTTAGCTAGTTTATTCTGCCAATCTTGAAATTCAATTCATCACTTAGTCTAGAGTGGACCCTACCTTGCCACCTGTAACTCTTAGGGGAGGAGCAGGATAAGATATTCTAGACCCTTCCTGATACCTGATCCTAGGAGTTTGGTAGTATTTAAGAGGTGAGGTTCACATGATGAAGAATAGTGGGAGGGTTTGGATTTGATAGAAAACATCTGGAAATTTCTGGGGGTTACTTCACATCTGAAACTTCCAGGTGAGGAGTGAGTTAGGGGTCTATTCAAATCTGAGCTGGGGGAAGAGGATATTGGACTGTGCATGGGGAAACTTGAGCATCAGCATATGGATGTGAAGTAGTTTGGAGTACAAAGATATCTGGTTTCAGCTATAGGAATAAGGACACCAGGGATGCTCAGGGGAATGGAAGTGGCCAGATTTGACTGGTAGAGAAAACATTATTCCAAATAGAATAATAACCAGACCCCTGGTGCCTGGGATCTAATGCTTTGAGTTTGTCCCAACTCCTGAAAGCTGGCAGCCTCTCCCAGTTCCACCAGAAGTGCTTGGATACTGGTATTGGCATAGTCTCTTCTATTATCTTCTTCCTCCCCCAGACAATATAGACCTACCTCTAACATGCTCTCTTTCCTTGTTCTAACAGTAGCGTAAGGCTAAAGAGTTCATCATACCTAGGCTAATCTGTTGCAGGCTAATTTCAGGTATGTTTTTCTCAGATTCTCGGTTTGGTAAATTCAGCTCTCTCCATGCTTGGAAATAAGATGTACTTTCTCTTCCAAAGACTTTCCTGATTTGCTCCAGGATTGAATGAGGCTTGACTCACTTAATCCAGATGGAAAGTTAGATCTGATTTTTGAGATTGGGGTAAGAGAGTTAGCTATATCCAGATCAGAGGATTTATGGGCTCAGAAAACAGTATCTTGAAGGAATAGGATCAGTGGAATGTCTTCTCTAAGCTCAAGTCTTGGTCTGCTAGATCTGAATTAAAGAATTAAAAAGTCTGGGTCTATATTCTAAGCTGGGATGCCTGGGTAAATGAAGTCCAGGTGGAAAGGGGTAAGCCTTCATTTTCTCCTTTCTTCCCACTCCAGTCCCAGAATGTTGGTCATTCCTCTCCTAGCCTTCCTGTGTGTCTCAGCCTCTGCCAATGACAGTGAGATGCCACAAGCCTGGGAATGGGGTCGTGGGAAGATGGTTCCTGAAATGCTGTTGGTCAAGGCTTTCAGACACTGACTTGGGGTGCTGAGAGGGACTGGAGTAGTGAAGAGCAACTGAACTCCTGGGCGTTTCTACCTCTGCCTCCTTCTTTCCTCTCCAGTCCAGGCCAAGTCCTCCTCCTACAATGGAGAATTACAGGGGTTGTAGAGGAAAGAGGTTCTCTCAATCTAGCAACCAGCTGGATGGCCCCATCACTGCCATTCGTGTTCTCTCCGACTCATACTACATCACAGGGAAAGATTTTTCAAGTTTCTGTAGTTTGGGGTCTGTCTAGGACCTTACTAAACCAAGTTCTCATTCCCTTTGGATCATATCTACTTAAATCAACAAGTCACAGATATTACATGAGCTGGTGTTGGAGGCCTAGATTCTAGATCTGTGTTTTTTAAAACTCCCCCAACATTTGTGACCTTGAGAAGTCAGATAATCATAAACCCTCAGGAGCCTCAAGTTGTCTAGGTGGTTTAAGTCTCTTTTCTAGTGTTCCTGTCAGGTAGCCTCCCTCTTTGGTTACTGTCTCTCTTGGGATCATCCCATTCTGCTCACACATCTGGCTGAAGTTCTCTGCATGATCCAGGGCTCACCCTGCCTTCCTATCTTAGGGGGCTAGCAGGGGATGTGTCATCTTGGAAACCAGTTTGAAAATCTCAGCATGTAGAGCAAGATTCTTGAGTTTTGATAACCCTGTTCAGTGGCTTCCTTCCTTTCCTCCTCACCCCTGCCCCCAGCCTGCAGGTGCGCTACAGCAAGGTTTGGAGTGAATATGTAGGTGGCAAGTGGGGAGACCTGGAAGAGATCTTTCTGTACCCTGCGGAATCCGTGATCCAGGTGTATGGCAAGTACAATTACTATCTGAGGAAGCTGGTGTTTGTTACGAGTAATGGCCGCCACCTGTCTTTTGGATAAAGCGTAGGCGTGAGTTTCAGTGCTGCTCCCCTGCATCCCAACACCGTACTTCGCTTCATCAGTGGCCGAGCTGATTCCTACATCCGTGCCATTGGCCTGCACTAGGATGTTCCCTCTGGCCACAACAGCTGCCCTCAGCTTCCTGTTTGACAGCAGCAC